TACAGTTGTCGTATTCCTCTTGTCAAGCCACTCCTGAACCACAGACAATGTCAGAGGTGTCTTAGCTGGACTAAGGAGAAGAAGAACTGGACTGTTGCCCAGTGGTCCAAAGTCCTCTTTTCAGATGAGAGCAAGTTTTGTATTTCATTTGGAAACCAAGGTCCTAGAGTCTGGAGGAAGGGTGGAGAAGCTCATAGCCCAAGTTGTTTGAAGTCCAGTGTTAAGTTTCCACAGTCTCTGATGGTTTGGGGTGCAATGCCACGCCGAATTGAGGCAGTAATTAAAGCAAAAGGAGCCCCTACCAAGTATTGAGTACATATACAGTAAATGAACATACTTTCCAGAAGGCCAGCAATTCACTAAAAATGTTTTTTATAGGTCTTATGAGGTATTCTAATTTGAGATAGTGAATTGGTGGGTTTTTGTTAAATGTGGGCCAAAATCATCACAATTAAAAGACCCAACAGCTTAAACTACTTCAGTCTATGTGTACTGAATGTATATAATACACGAGTTTCACTATTTGAGTTAAATTACTGAAATAAATTGACTTTTCCACGATATTCTAATTTACTGAGATGCACCTGTAAACTGATCCCATGTGGGGTCACAACTTCAAGGCTGCAACACTCAAAATTCTGAATTCTATGGTACACGCTTGTCAAAAGCCAAAAAATAAAAAATACTAGATTGCAAAAGTGACACCACAGTGCTCACAACCATTAAAATGCTACAAATCTTCACCACCTCTGCATTTTGCTCCACTTTCTCTGTCATGAGGCACACGGTCCTCTGCTTGATTCTCAAAGCCACTCACCTCACACTGATGTCCTTTTTCTTCCCCTTCCTCTTGCTGACATTGTCAGGATGTGGCACATCATCATCCTCATGCAGAGGATCTTCCTTTTCACACTCATTAATGTCATCCTCACTGAGGTTGTCATCTGAGCAGGATGTCAGCAGGAGCAGTGAGAACGACAAGAATACAGTGTGAATACATGCATGTCATCTGGTTAAGAGAAGGGGCCAGGCAATAACAAATTACAACAACTGACACAGTGATGTCATAATCTAACCATGCTATAGTCCTAAAAATTTCTGATGAGCAAGTAAGGTCTTGCTGACACTCACCATACTGTGAATAGTGGATAGTATAGTGATACCTGCAATAACGATTTCAACCATATCATCAAGCACTAGGAGCACATCTTTTAGTTTGGTCAATTACCTGTTGTTATGATGTAGATAAAGCATATTTAAATAGCAAAGTATTGTGCACAAAGTGATCACTTTATTAGGTCAAGAAGATGTTAACTTGACAAGACAGAACGGTTTATGACAAATACTTGACGGGTGCGATGACTACATACCAAATAACGTAAAACATCCCTGCAGTCATTCATAAATACATTTAAATGAGTGCATTGATTAATTAAGGCAACGTGACCTATTGCGACCACCATGGCATAAAAACCTGACTCTATCCCGTCAAAACAAGTTGTTGAACACATGCTGCTTGGTGACTCAGATTCAAGCCGAAGTTAGTAGACAATTAATGTTCATGGTCTTCGAGATGTCTACGTTGGCTGAGGAGCAGTTCACTAATAAATTATTTCACAATCATCTCCTTTTGCACTGATGTACATAAGGAGTTAGTTTATCGTGTTTAGCACGTGGGGCCAGCTTCTTGTTGGATGCCACTAATTCATTAGCGTTAGCAAAACAAGGTTAGCGTTAAACCAGGACTAGACTCCAGCGTTTGTGGTCTTGTGGTGCTGACCCCAACCAGTTACCTATGCCTAGTTACTCCTGTCTGGACTAACGTTTGCCTTACTGGGACCCTCCGTGTGGTATTTCCTGCACTAACTGGTTCCCACTACTTAGCCGCTGCCTTCAAATACAGCGCCAGGTCCAGTCCCCACCTGATGGGACGTAGTCGGCATCTTCGTTAGACGAATATCCATCAGAGTCATAGTCAGAATAGTTCATCATGTTAACGAAAAGCTTCAGACTGATACAGAATTAAGATGAAAAATTACTACAGGCTACCAGAATGTTTACTACTAACGTTACTTAACGTCAGCAGGTTACGTTTAACCACGTAATCATAAGTGGATGCGAACACCTCCTTTGTAACAAAGACAAAGCGGAGTTAAAACGCTGCTCTGTAAACTCTGAAAGCTGTACATGCATTCAGAGTAAGAAATGGGTGAAGCGACGATATTATAAGTTAGCGTTTCTGGAAATGAGAGATACTATGTCACTTCCTGTGACGACGATCTCGAAGCATGTTTGTAAGAGACCTGGACACTACATTACAAGATGGCGCCTACTTTGCCCACTAGGAACTAGGCACGTTCGAAATAAATCAGATCTGCGCAGAATCCCGCACAATGCATGCCGGTTATTTTTGTTCGTCCTTCTTTTCTTTTGGCAAAACTTTATTGTACAGTGCAGTACCCAAAGAAAGGAACCATGGTCACAGGTGGAAAGTAATTTAATTAAGTACTGTAGGCATATATGTGCTTTACCCGAATATTTTCATTTTCTGCTACTTTATACTTTAACTACACTACATTTTAACAAGAAATGTATGTTTTACATTTATTTATTTAGCTACATTTATTTGATAGACTTAGTACAGTTACTTTTCATAATCCGATCAGTAAAACATAATACACTATAATCATAAGACTTAATTGATTCTCAGTCGGATATTCACAAGCTATACAGAAGTCCTTCAAATTATAAGCATATAAGGTAGGCTGGTTAAAATGTGCTCCACCTTTAGGGCCTTCGCCTGGTAACTAGTGACGAGTTGGCTCTATGAGCCAGCTCTCTTCTGAAATGACACAGGCACTCCATGTACTGACTTCATTATATATGTGTGTGTCTGCCACTACTCTTCATCATCATTTTTCTTTTTCTGTTGTTTAAAGGAGGTTGGCAAAGAACTTTAGGTGCATTGCTGCCACCTTCTAGACTGGAGTGTGGATCAGAACAGCAAAATAAAATACTCTCACTCAATGTATACTATATATACCTGCTACAGTCCCTCCTTTAAGTGTCTTTTGTCAGTTCTTCCATGTTTTCTCCTGCTGGACTATCTCCTATCACTTTCCTCAGTCCGTTCATTAAGGCAAATGGCCTCATTGAGACAATTTCACTTCCTGATTTAAATTTCAGAATAACCTTAAACTCATCCATCATTCTTTTTTCCTGTACATTGCATGTTCCCTCATCTTCATCAAGCATTGTCTTTCCTGAAAACAGCATCAGATTAACCTTATGTTTCTTTCCCTTATGATTATTTACTATTCTTGTCCAATCAACACCCCATCCTTATCCTCCACTACTTCTCGCCATTCCAATCCAGTCACAGTCTAGATTATGCCAAAACCACCTGTCAATGCCAACTGTGGAAGTTTCAAGTGAGCACGTCCGGTTTGCTCACATACACCACCCGGCAGCAAATCAGGCGTGACAACAGTAAAAGATCATACCATCAGGTTAAAAGGTGGAGGGCTGAGCAGACGGTCTACAGAACAGATGAGAGGAGTGAAGCAGCAGAAGATGAGTGACACACAAGAATTTGGATGTGTTAGGTTATTTCTTAGTTAGATAGATATTCAGAGATTTGTTGTCTAGAAATGTTTAGTGGAGACAGGATGTCTAGCTCAGGCTGTTAACTGCTCAGTTTAATTTCATGTGCTTGCAGACTGCATGTAGGCCAAGGCTGCAGGCAAAGAGAGTTGTTAGTATTAACTGTAATGCTAATCCTTGCGTGGGTCCTCTCCGGGTGCTCCGGCTTCCTCCCACGGTCCAAAGACATGCAGCTTAGGTTGATTGGTGTCTCTAAATTGCCCCCTAGGAGCGTTGTGTGTGTGTGTGTGTGTGTGTGTGTGTGCGCGCGCGCGTGTGTGGTTGTTTGTTTCTGTGTTAGCCCTGCGATTCGCCCGATTGCCGGCCGGGATTGGCTCCAGCCCCACCCGTGACCCCGTTAAGGGACTAAGCGGTAGAAAATGAATGAATGAATCCTCTGAATAAACTAGTATGGTTATTTTTTATAAAATCTAAAGTGGTCTACTTCGTCTTTTTGGGAGTTCCTGATTTAAAAGAGCCGGAAGAGGCTTTGTACAGAAAAACAGAGCTTATAGATGCATTTTAATAATATAGACAACACAAAGACAGAATGTAGAACTTGTGAAATAAAATGATCATATTGAGCAGGGTCTACTAATAATCTTTACAGGTATATTAGAACTGTACATGCAACAGGTGGGATCGTTGTACATTAATGCGCTTTTCTATGCATTACAGCACACTCAAAGCACTTTCACATTATTTGCCCATTTACACTCATGGGAGCGGGGCAGAGTGACACCTTCACAGGCTAGGGTTTGATACATCAAAGACTTTTTTTATTACTATAAAGGGAATCACATGTGTTTGGTCTATAATCTATAACTAGAGAAATGCATTTCCTGTAGAAAATGCATGTGGATGCTAATAAAAGCTGAAAGATTGTCCTGAAAATGCCTGAAATCAATTGCTGAAACAGCTGAAAGATGAGAAGAAATAACTGAAGTTCTTTGTTGAAACAGTTGAGAAGAAATGGCTGAAGTTCTTTGTTGAATAATCTGAATGATGAGATGCAATAAAATAGGAATGGCCTTGAAGAGCTGAACATTTTGATACCTGAATGGCTTTTCTAGCTGAAGGTATGCTGAACTTATTAAAATGTGAAAATAGTCCAATAGGACTGTTAGAAATTAACCCAATTCTTTTGTTGGAAGCATGAGAAGTGAAGACAGGAGAGGACTGTTTAAAATCAACAAAGTTTACTGAAAGTTTGATCACAGGTAGGTCTTACAGCACTGGATTCAGAGAGACAGCACTCCCGCAGGAAAACCGGCTTCTGAATCCTGAATTAAGTTTTTACAACACATTTATCTTCTTAGGCTGCTCCGCCCTGGACAGGGGTGCAACCTTCAATAGTTTGTGATCCTATTGGTCATTTGGTGTGAGTAGGTCAACCCCTGCCTGCGCTTGCTTGCTGATATGTGATCTAGACCAGGTGTGTCTGTGTCTGTGTGCGTGTGTGTGTGTGTGTGTGTGTCTCTCCGGCACCCTGATCTTGATCTCGAGGTGCACTGTTCAATGGGTGGCCTGAGTTGCAAA